TCAACTGGGAAATTTCACACCTCAGTGGTTTTGATGATGTGTTAATCGGTTCCTCAATTTTATTTTTTGCTTTTACTGGTTTTGGGGTGCTTGCTTTATTACAATAAGCGTCAAAATAATCTGGTTTAAGCTTTTTAGGTTCATCCCAGCGCCAACGACGCCAAAAGCGGAACCTTAATAACCGAGGACGGCGCAGGCGCTATTTGCAGTTGAGAGATGTTTACCTAACAAATGGGCGTGAGATTCGCCCTTGACTTTAACAGGAAAAGAGGGAAGACCGGTTCGACATATCGGAGCGTGCAGCGCCCGGCTACGGTCGTTTTACCTGTTGCCAAGTGGCAGGGGTCCTTGAGACAGGCCGTTAAAGTGATCACGTGGTAAGGTGCACATCCGAGGATGAACGGGGGTTGTATATTCGTCATAACCAGCAATGGGCAGGTGCGCTACACTGCAACAAAGGTATACGCCGGAATCCTGTATTACACCAAGTAGGAGGTGCTTTGGATAATTCTTTCCGTCCGGGCGTCGTCTTGCCATATTGCTATTTGTCGGTAGCACTGCTTTTTTGTAGCAGGGATATACTTACTTGGACGAGATGAGTGGGAAGTAACAGGGTCGTAGTCTTACCACGGATGCGCTGATTAGATTTATGGCTAATTCGAACTCTTTGGAAAATCTATTTTGGGTGTCGTCAAGGTTTGCCACATCCGCCCTGTCTTTCAGGCACGTAGGCCTATACCTACAACCGCCGCCCCCGGGTCTGCTTGAAGAGGCAGCCTGTCGATTCCTTCACCCGACGCAAAGGGGCATCGCTAGTACCGCATCAAAGATGGTTGCGCAACTTTACACGAAAGTATGCATTATTGGCTCGGGCCCTGCTGCCCATACAGCTGCGATTTACACGGCGCGCGCAGAACTGGGCCCAATCCTTTTCGAGGGCTTTATGGCGAATGGAAATGCTGCTGGGGGTCAGCTACGACTACAACGGATGTTGAAAACTTTCCGGGTGCGTTCAAATCGATACGATCCACCGAGGTTTAGTATGATATCCTTTACCGGTCATGGTCGCAATGACTTGCAGGTTTCTCTGAGGGCATTCTTGGTGTTGAGCTAACAAATTGCTTCCGTGACCAGTCCGCTCGGTTCGGGACGAAGATTTTCAGCGAAACGGTCGAGAACGTCGATTTCTCGAAGCGGCCATTCACCGTACGAACCTCGGAAAAGGAGGTGAAAGCTGAGACGGTCATTATCGCTACGGGTGCTGTGGCGAAGCGGATGGAGTTCCCGGGCAGCGGCGAGGAGGGTGGCTACTGGAACAAGGGCATTTCGGCCTGCGCTGTTTGCGACGGCGCCGCTCTTATCTTCCGCAACAAGCCTATTGCAGTAATTGGTGGCGGCGATTCTGCCATGGAGGAGGCAAACTTCCTGACGTAGGTACTGTCCGTTTATCCGGGTAGTGAAACGTGTTTTCCCGTCTTTGGACACGTTTCGCGCATGAAATGCGTTTGCGGGCGCCCATCCCTTAGCCTTCCCAGTTTGTCGGGAACTGGGTTATATCCCTCTCCACACAAGGAAGCAGTTCGCACCACGAGGTGCTTCCGAAGCGGTTTTTAGGTCTTGAAATATGCGGCTAAGAGGTTATCGTGAAAGGGATTGCGTTAGGGTCATGATGAGGTGATAGCCTCTTCCGCAATCTTGTTTACAACAAGCACATGTTATTGCAGAGGCGTGCTTTTTCTGCTACCCTCTTCCCCAGCAAGCCCTCGACAAACCGCCCCCATATCATCCATCGTTATCGGTCATACCCCACCTAACGGTAGCCTTACCCTCGCTGAACGTGCCCGGTGCTTGCCCTTTTGTCGTCCCGTGGCGCATTTCAATGTTCCTTCACAACGTAGCAAGTACGGCTCCAAAGT